AAAAAAAAAAAAGAAAAAAGAAAGAAATAAGAGGAAGAACGAATGAACGAAGAGGCGGAAGGAAAAAAGAACGAAGAGAGGAAAAGAAAAAAAAGAGGAGAGAAAAAGGAAATACGTTTACTGCAGCATAAAATGCATCGAGACGAATCCGCTAAGTAAATAATTCCCTTTCAAGACGTATAAATCTTATGGGGAGGCGTTCGAGAACGGTTTCATTGTGAATCTAGCGGCTACGTTTCCTAAGGAATAGTATATTATACTTTAATGGAAGTATACATAATGTATTACGGTGAATGATAAAGGAAAAGCATTAGAGCTGGCGCGATGTAATCGAGCAGAATTTTATAGTCTCCGGCAATATCGTTTCGTTCCGCATCCTATTTCCGCATTACCGAAATTAATGAAACGGTGTCCGCGTCTTCCCGGCGAATTCATTAATACGTATGACGACTTAACAGATGTTTCCCGAATATGAATATTTCAAAAAGCAGCACGGAATGTTAATGGAATGTTAATAGATTCGTTGAATGAAATTTTAACAGCGCGTAGTTCTCTTTGAAATATCGTATGTAATTCTGCATCTAGTAATTTCATGGTTCCTCGTTCGTGAGAATTATCAATTACTAGAATTCAAAATTTTTTTTTTCGAGACATTTCCCTTATTTACAATCTTCTTTTTCTTTCGGTGTAATTTACCGATTATTCAAATATATCGTAAAGCAAATTTTGACATTTTCTATCCGCTATGACGAAAGAGTTGTATAAAGCGTGTAAGAAAAAAAAGAAAAAGAGACTCACCACGAGATAAATCTAGCGACGTCACTTTTCCTTCCAATAAAATATCGTTCGAGCTAGACTCGGCTCTGGTATCCCAAAATCGAATTCTTTGATCAAAATGGCCACTAATTATCGTCGAGCCAGCACCGTCGGATGTCACGAGGTCGTTGCAGCTCGAGCCCGCGAACTTTGTTTCTATACCTGAAAAATGAAATTTAGCTGGCATCGAATATCCACTGCAGCAAAAAAAATTCTTTAAACGTTTGTTATTATGAACTTTATTAAATGTGTGGACATTGTTAATTAATTAATTAGGAATTTTATTAAATTAATTATATACACATTGAAAAATCATTCATTGTTTCTTCTAGAAGATTCAGTTGTTTTCTTCGCAGGAATTCTATTTAATAAACGTATTAAACGTAATTAATCAATTAGACTAAAAATTTCGATTATACACTCCGACGTGTATATCATTGCATTAGAACGATACCCCGACGTAGAAAGAACGAGAGTGACAATCTCGTTTCTAGATCTGAAATTTCAATCGGCTCGCGTGTTTCCACATTCACATAAAATCTGCTTACGTCGGTACACCTAAGTTGACGGGCATGATGCATCGCCACGAAGTAATTGGACCCAGTAATTCCATCTTCGTAGGAAGCACAGTGCCTCGAGCGATATCGATAACCGACGTATCGTCGTGGTAAGTTCGACAAGCTAATTGATCGAAGCTAGTAAATCATCTTTGATTTAATATAGATCACCATCGACATGGTGAAACGGACATATCCATGTAAAATTCACAATCGTACGAACGGACAGCTGAGAGTCAGCCGCCTGACTTTATTTATGGTCGCCTCGTATTCACACGAGAACCAATAATTGATCCTCGAATGATCCCTGTCACAGGATTTTTTTTTTACTGCAGACACACTACAATCTGTGTAAATTTTTTGAAAAGGAAGCTCTCGCTCTCTCCCGCGAAACTTTTTTCAAGAAGTTCAAAAAAGAAAAAAAAAAAAAACTTGAATATGATGAAACACACTGTGAAAAATTGTAGCGAAAGTTAATTGCCTGTAAACGTTTCGTTTTCAATTCCAGTCCAATCCCTCCATTGTTTGAGACACAAGAGAATAAAATAAAAATTATATTACAAGCCACGTTCTTCTGTTAGATCGTCAATCTTTCTTCTGCGAAAGACAATTTACAGGGTTTTAATCAAATTTCTTTAAAACAGACTAGTCTTTTTCATTGATCGATGACAATTGTAAATAGTCAATTTATTAAAAAAGAAAAAAAAGAAAAGAAAAAGTCCACTCTTACGTTCATTTCATCATTTTCACTGACGGAATAGTTCCCGATGGAATCAAACGAGTTTTCAATTTTTGCTTGCTCGGTGGTAAGAAAAATTCGCCGATGCGCGAGTATTAATCGCCACGTATTTACATACAAAGTTTGCATACGTATTTTATGCGCTTTGTATCCGTTTCCTTTGTTGCAAACAGCAACCAGTTTCCGGATTCGAGCAACTGAAGTACAGTACTAAAGTACCTAAGCGTTTCTCGTCGTCGATTCACTTTTCCTGCCCGTATTAGCCGAGAAGGGTTCTCAATGGATTACAGTTAACTATAAGCGCGTGCTTCCGAGCGCTTTCAATCCCGCGTACACGCTCCCCCTTTTGTAAGTTTTTTGAGACTAATCTACATTTCTAACGACTTGTGTCAAGCAATTCATCTACCATGAAAGCGTACACGCGGCATGAAACGATTTCCGCGAATGAGTAATGGATCTTTCAGATATAAGCACCAAGCGTGTAGGAAAAAATTATTGAAACAGGAAACAAATTACGTACTCCGTTCATGGCGTCGTGTATCGCTAATTACGAAAATAATCCTCGAATGAAACGGATTTAAAGATCGGAAGAAAAATTCACGCATTTGAATAACTGTCACAGAATCAAGCGTGTCGCAGAAAATTATTGAAACAGGGAACAAATGTACTTGTTTATGACGTCGTGTGTTGCTAAATGTGAAGATATCCTTGAAAGGAGGAAGGGAAATTTACGAATTTTAGTGACTATATGTGTTAGAGAATCAATTGCATGTGGCAAAAAATTATTGAAATAGGAATGTTATCGCTAATTGCGAAAATATCCTTGGAAGAGACGGATTTAAAAATTGAAAGGAAAATTCGCGAATTTTAGTGACTGTGTGTCAGAAAATCAATAAATTTCTGCACCAAACGTGTAAAAAAAAAAAAAAAGAAGAGTAAAACAGGAATGTTAATGGCATCGTATATTGGAAAAGTAACTTTGAAAGATATTATTGGAAAAGTAACTTTGAAAGATATTAGTAACTACATATATCAGACAAAAATCATTAAATTTTTGGATAAATAAATTATTGCGTACGACACATTAAATCAACAGTACGATACATGAATTTATAAAACGCTCGTGTAATTTTCAGCCAGTGTTTAATTCA